TATTTCTTGTGTTTTTATTTCTTTTTGCTGTCGAATATGTTCCTTTTGTGTTTGCTGCAGTTTTTTCAGTTCTCGATTCATATCATTCAGCTTACGTTCATACTCCATTTTAACTGCTTTTACATTATCTTTTGGTGGACTAAGCATAGATGTTGCTGAGAAAAAAAAAAGCAATGTTCGTATATCAAGTTTAAGGAAAATAATAAGAAAAAAAAATAAATCAATTTTGATTTTTGTTTCATAAATTTTAAATGAATTTGTGATATTTTTAAGGCAAATAATTACCCATATTCGCCAACACCTCATCTCTTTCCTTTTGCGTGCTAAATATTTTAGATGTTAGGACATTAAGTTTTTCTTCATAGTGTTGTCGCATAACTTGCATCCGCTCTTGAGACAATTCCAGCTGCTCAATTAGTTTTGTTTTTATTTCAATATCTGAATTGATTTCATTTAAATTTTCTTCCATTTCTTTCTCTGCGAAAATCAATTATAGATTAGAGTAATATTTATTTATAATAATATTATTCATTTTTACCATTCGAATCACTTTCACTGTCTGAAATCTCCAGCTCAGCCATTTGAGAACCTTCAATTGTTATTCCGGGTAATGATCGTGACATTAGCAATTCTCTTTCCTTCTCCAAGCCTTTCTTAGCTATGTCGATGATAACGTTAGGGTCTGCGAAAATATTGTATATTGAATTTGAAATTTATTGCATATTGAATATTGAAATTTCCGCTGCATATTCCATTTCTTACCTTCATATAACGTTTTGTTACCTCTTGGTGAAGTTCCTGTGGAATTAAGTTTCTTCAACTGTTGACACATCTCTTCGGATTCTACAAGTTTGGCCTGCAATTTTTCGATCTCGATCACATAGTTTTCAACCAAGTTTGCGACGGACGTATCGGAATTAGCATCTATTGACCACTCATGTATTTGCTTCTCCAGTTTAAGTTTCGCATTGCGATCAATTAATATGTTAATGGTCTCTTGCATTGATTTTATGCGCTGCTGTAAGCGTTTATTATCGTCCAACAGCATGGAATTTTCATAATATGTATCTGATATTAAGGTATTTCCTTGCGAATCCAAAACACGTTTACCCTGTAAGATATATGGAAAGGATGTATTCATAGACGTCATTTTGACCTGCTTAAAAATTATTATTATAATTTTATTGTACCTGCTTGTACTCCAAAAGCTCCAATTGCAAGGCAGCGACTTCTCTTCGGAGTAACGAGATTGTTCGTGAGCTTTGATCCTGATTGATCTGAACTTTGTTTTTGATATTGCGAGCTCTATTTGCATACTTTAGTGTATTCAATGTTTCCATAAAGTCACGATCACTTGGAGAGATGCAAGCAATCATTAAGGTTTGGCTATTGCCACCTAGAGAATCTTGAAGAAGACGCGTTAGCTTCGAGTCTCGATATGGTACATGCGAGACTTTCTTCGATTTATCGCCCAACGCTGAAATGCAATTGCCCAGTGCTAAAAGTCCACAATTAATTGATATACCCTCGCGAGCACGATCTCCCGTCGCCAAGGTTCGTTTCAAACGCTCCGAGCCAGCCAAATCAACAAAATGGAATTTAGACGTCAAGGTTTCAAAGTCGCTATCGCTGAAATCAATTTTCGGCTCGATCATATGTTGTCTACGTACAAATAACGTAAACACTGCATGCGATCGTGATGATAGATCATTCATTTTAGTTGAAGCTGTCGTTCGCGCTAAAGCTCCTTGCTGTAGCAATCTGAAAGTATGATAATGAATTACTAATAAATTCATACATTCTATATTTAACTGGTGATACAAAATATTTATAAGATTAAAATGAATACGCAAAGAAGCTAAAATAAATTGAAAATTTATACTAATAATATTGTGATTATTAAATAATATTCTCATAAAAGTATAAGAAATATGTCTCCAGTTGGAATTGGGAAAACTATATAATTTTCACTTGAATACAAGACCTAAAACCAGAAATGCTCACCTGTAGCTTTTTAAGTAATCAACCAAGCCGGGCTTAGCTTAAAATTACAAACTTTTGTTGAATGTTTAAATACAATACAATATTCGAATTACGCTCTAGGGTTTGCAATGATTTAAATA